TCACTTCATGTGGTTGTCGATACAACTTCCTTGCCTACAAAAAAGGATGTCTCAAAATCCAATTATACATTGTAACTTCTTCAGAATAAATTTACACAATACATATGACCAATGATATCCAATAAATTTGCATGTTGCAATATTCAGTATTACAAAATAAATGCAAAGTTCAATTGATGCTCATTATGATGATTATCATCTAGTGCTTACTATTAGATATTTGATTCAAAAAAGAAATATAAAGAATTCTTCAATGCTATGATTGCAAGTGCTCATCATTGTACTCCAAACTTCACACAATTGTTGGAACAAATGAGTATAATAGAATCCAATAACAAACTGTACTTACTTCTACTTCATAGCTAAGTTGAACCACATTATAAAATTACAAGATCCTAATCTGTGCATACTATAATCCACTACTATCATTGAATAAATAATGAATATTAGGAGATAAAAAAATAGCCATGCCACAATTATAGGCTAGCCCTTGAATAGCTACTACATATTCTTGGGCTACCAACATATACATATTCTAAGAAGTTACAATAGCTCAAATTGTTAAGACTAGTTGTGAATGCCACAAATACTACATATGCAAAGCCTTCTTATAATACATGTAATATTGTTGTTGAATGCCTTCACTTTAATAATAACTATAAGATGGACAATCTTATGCTTTTAAATATAAAAAGAGAAAAATAAAAAAACAAAGGATCAAGAATGCAAAGCCAAATTAGAGGATAGCATAAGAACAATCTATCATAGCTACTATTAGAGAATCAATTACAAGTAGAGTAATATAAATTTAGGAATATTATTATGATTGCCACTTCAACAACTTCTATAATCTTTCAAAGGTAAAAATTAGTAGCACCAAATATTTTTGATGAAAAAAAAAATACAAACCTCAATGCAAGAGGAGCTATAATTTATAGACTCTACCTACTATAGAGTTCTTAAACAATGTAAAAAATATAATAAGAGGAAAAAATGAATAAAAAACCAAAGACAATTTGGATCTCAATTAGTAGCACTTTTACTTTGAAAAAAGTCAGTGGCCCAACTAACAACTTGAAGTTTGTTATAAGAAGATATTGATATTTAAGAACACCTCTTAATTAGGTACATATTTTTAAGCCCTATCTTGATATCCAAATCACCAAATAATCTTGTATGAAAAATAAATCTCTATTAGTTGGAAGCATATTCTATTTTATAATAATTTATTTATCTAAATTTAATAATAAGTTCTTATAATCATTTGATTAATTATCTAATAATTCCAATAAAATTTCAATTGTGATTTAAATAAATTCATCTAAAAGTTGATTTATTATACTTTATAATAATAAATTAGTCTTCTCATCTAAATAAGAGATAATCATTAGTAGAAGTAACCTATTAATCACCTTTATATAGAATATAGATTAGAATTTTTTTATTAGCATCATTTAATAGATTGAAATCTTTATTAACTTATAAACGAACGTGACTACCATAGTATCTAATTCTCAACAATCCCTTTGCATTCAACATCACAAGAAAGCACTCTTTATATAAAATCATTCATCACAGGCCATGCCATTCAGCTTCTTTCTTCATCATATCTTACTTCCCAACTCTCCCCAATATGTACATCCATGCTTCTACTAAATCTACTTTAGGCATCTAGATATGTGAAACATACAATTATATTATACAATCGAATCATCTCTCTGTATATTATACACATCTATATAGGATCATATTCTCCATTCACATCTCGTCTCTATCATATTTTCTATCTCCTGCTTTGAAGTCATTATCTCTTTCATGCTCTGGTAGGCATTTCTCACTACATTTCCTATTTTTTGCAATAAATCTCCTATGCTATCTTTTACTTCCATCACCTTATAGGATGCGGCTTGTACAGCTTCTGTTGATGCTTGCTATATGTGATCTTACTTCTTGCCAGCCACGTCATTGATGTGTGAAGCCTTGTCGCTAGCTACTCTTACTACTTTACTTGCCTTTTCTTGAGTAGCACTGACAGCATCAATGGCACCTTGCTTTGCATGCTCTCATTTCTTGCAAGCCATGCCTCTAGCTTCATTTGCCTTGTCTTGCCTTGCACCACACCAATAGCATTAGGAGGACTATACATTATCTACTCCCATTTCTTCCTAGCTTTGTTATCAGCTTTGTTAGCCTCTCCCACCAAATGCTCTCCAAAACTCCCACAAAAATTAACTTCAACCTAATCACCAACTTCCACACTACATCTTATTTTTTGCCTTAGGATCTGATTTTGACCTAGGTTCATAATTAGTCTTTTCTGGGTATCAATTTTTGATAATTTGAGGTAATTTTTATTTAAAGTTTTCTTAAAGATGCCTATATTGTTTAATTATCTCATTTACTTTAATTTGAGGCATTTGTGCTCCTTCAAAGCAAATAGAAGTTCCTTCTTCAAAAGACAACATTAAGACTAAATTTTTTACTTCTTTCCTATTATTTATACATCTTTTTACTCGGTTCATTTATAATAATATCTTTATTCTTATTTTTTACGACATAATCATGTTACCACACAATAATGCTAAGGTGTAGGGAAGGAGTTGGAATCATTTTAGCTTGATTTTCTTTCATTTGATTTTTACATTTTGTAAGCTTAAATGAGTGGCATTAGGAGAGAATGCCTCATCTGTTATTATTGCAAGGAGTTTTATTCTTCTCCGTGCATCAATAGCTAATTTGTTGCTAGCACTCATTCAATATGAAGGTATATTTATAATAGCTAAAAAGTGTGTGTTTGAAGTTCTAGAGGTAATAGTTTGGATGATTGTGGATGTAAAAATAGAAAAGATATTTGGAATTGGCCGTTCATAAGATATTATCCTAAATACACATCAAGTTGTCATTTCTTATGCAAAGTAAATTTGGAATTATTGATCCGTGTCATTATTATGGTGGTAGAGAACTAGCTAAGATAATTGGAGGCTTGTAGATTTGACATTGCAAGTTCAAAACTATAGCATTAGAATGGACCTTGTAGATTGGATAGTGTTGCTTCTCAGAGCTTTTACAGAAAAAGACCAATAGGTCTTCTATTCAACAATAATATAGTAATTATGGCCTCTCTGAAGTATCCCGCTCTTTTGTAAGAATTTCCAAAGTGACAACCTTGTATAGGATGAATTTTAGAGTAGAATAAATTCATATTACAATGGAATTAAGGAGCTAAATGAATCTAGATTAGAATTAAATAAGATTAGATTAAGATTTGATAGAAATCCAATATGATGAATTTTAATCACAAATAAATTTTTGAATAGATGAAATTATAATGGATGAAAATGTTACATAGATAAGTTTTCATTTGTAGATAAAAAATCATTCATGTATGAAAACACATTTGTAGATGATAAATTGTATCTACATAGAAATTAATTGATGGATGAAGAGTTTTATAAATTCTATAAGTAAATTATGGAAGAGTTGGAAACTTCGGATTAATTTATATTGCAAGCATGGTTGTTCATGGATTATTCTAGTATTTAATGAAAATAATTCAACAAGTTTAAAGGGGTCTTTGATAAGAACTTAAGTAAGTAATAAAAAAAATTAGTAAAAATCTAAAATTATTTTCTCAAGTCACAAAAGTCTTTTGAGTTTTTATGTCATATGTGTAGTATATGAATGTTCTTGTATTTCATATGTTAATATCATCTTAATGCTTAAGCCTTATTTAGAGAGATTAAGAAGGAATTAATTGAGACTTAAGCATTAAGATCACATTAATAAAATATATAGAAAACTAGAAGTTGAGAATTAGAATAAACTACCAATAAGAGGGTTTGTTTTAGCTCACATCTGGTTTTAGCCAAAATTTCTTTACCCTCACAAAGATTACAATACAACACAAAAAATTTACTCTTTGTAAAGATCATGCTTGTGAACTTTTTCAAGACAATAATCTTCTCATGACCAATGGCATGCATCAAGGATCTTACACTTTAATCTTCACCATCTTCCTTCATCTGGCTGCTATAATTTATGTCACATCGTATGACAACATTCTTTCTGTAGAAGAATTATAAAATTCTCACACTAAGCACCTAACATTAGCATAAGGTGACTTCAAAACTAAACAACAAGACTAGTCGGATGAGGGGGTGATCATTTGTTCACATGGCCAAAACAAGGATGTAACATGGTGGGCGTTATGTACCAAGAGAACGAGACAAAGGTAAAAAAGATAAAGAAAAAGAAAACAAAAGGTGGTTGACGAGTGGAGAGCAACAACAATACAATGCAAGGCAGAAGCATCATCACTCCGTCAAACGTGCTCCATCTAGCCAGAAGTTAATGACGGCCAGCAGATGCGACACTAAACGAATGGACGGACGTCTACTCGAAACAGATGAAGATGTACGAAGGAGAGGGAGCAACATGATATAATACGAACACCTGAATCCCGATCCACTCCTAACTATCTAGTTTAGGCAAGAGAAAGGAAAAGGGCACACATGGACATGGCAAAGCGCAAGCAGTAAGCGAGAGAAGCAAGAAAGACGACCAGAGCGAGGCGAGAAGAGATAGCACAGATAGAGAAGAAAATCTCCAGTTCCAGAGAGGGGCAGAGGCGAGCACATGCTCACAACAGTGAAGGTACCGAGCTAGTGCGATCGGGTGACAATCGTGAAGAGATAGTCAAGTGAATACAACAAGACAAGGAGGATGAGCAAGGTGAAAGTAAGACGCAATCGAGTGAAACGACGGATCAGGAACAAGGTCAATGCTCTGGGTTTTCACCACGGCAGAAATACCACTCCAGGACCTGCAGTGTCCAACTGCCCAACACTCCTCCGCATCCGACATCACAAGAAAGCGCTCTTCACATGTAACCACTCATCACAGGCCATGGCATCCACTCGTAGCTGCGACCCAGCTTGTTTCTTCATCACACCTCGCTTCCCAACCCTCCCCAATACGTGCATCCACGCTTCCACCAAATCCACTTCAGGCATCCAGATGTGTGAAACTCACAATTGTATTATCCAATCGAATCATCTCTCTGTACATTATTCACATCCACACAGGACCCTACCCTCCACCCACATCCCGTCTCTACCACATTCCCTGTCTACTGCTTCGGAGTCACTGCCTCCTTCACGCTCTGGTAGGCATTGCTCACTGCATTCCCTGCCTGTTGCAACAAACCGCCTGCGCTATCCTTCGCCTCCGCCGCTTTGTCGGATGCCGCTTGTGCGGCTTCCGATGACGCTTGCTTCGTCTGATCCCACTTCTCGCCAGCCACGTCACCGGCTTGCGAAGCCTTGTCGCCAGCTGCTCCTGCTACTTCGCTTGCCTTGTCCTGCGTAGCACCGGCGGCATCGGCGGCACCCTGCTTCGCCTGCTCCCATTTCTCGCCAGCCGCGCCTCCAGCTTCATTTGCCTTGCCCTGCGCCGCACCAGCAGCATCGGAAGCACCGTGTTTCGTCTGCTCCCATTTCTCCCCGGCTACGTTGCCAGCTTCGTTGGCCTTGTCGCCTGCCGCTCCCGCTGCGTCGTGCGCCTTGTCTTGGGCAGCTCCGGCAGCATCCTGGGACACCAAACCCACTCACGCTTACACAACGCTACGTGCTCCTCATCTCCTCATCTCGCCAATGGCCCCCTCCCCCCTCCCACCAAATCCCACCACGCCAACGCCCCGCAAAACTCCCACAAAACTCCACAAAAACCAACGTCAACCCAATCACCAACTGCCACACCGCGTCACGTTTCTCACCTTGGTGGCTTGCTGGGCCTCGCCGGCCTTGCGCTGCCCAGTATGCTTGGCATCTTCAGCCTGCTTGGCGACGGCGTCCTGGTTGCTCTGGTACGAAGCCATTCCTGGAAGCTTGAGGTAAGCGTGGAGCAAGGAGCAAGAGAGATGTGTGTAGCGAAGTTGGGGACTAGACTTGTGCACTGACTCCGAGAGCTGGAATGCTGGGATGGACTGCTATTCAACACGATGAACACGCTGATGCTCGGGAAGGTCGCAGGGCGCTGGTTATAAGTATGACTTGGTAGACACGTGGCGGGTTAGAGCAATCGCAAGCGGGGACACTTGTCACAGTTTGCCAGATGGGCAAGTGGGTCCCTTGCAACGGTTGCTGCTTTCAGTGCTCGATGACCGAGAAGTCTATCCGGAAGGTGCATATGTTTGTATACCGTGTTTTATCTGTTGAGGATAACTTTTGAGTCGTAGGAATGACACCGTGTTCTATCGTTGATATTGGGTTGAAGTTTTGGCATCTTTTTCACGTCAGGTTTAAGTTGTGGTTCGCTTAATCATATTGAGTTGAGTGATTTGTTTGATCATTGTCTTTGTTATCTGGTACTTCGGTTTTCTGCTTTGTCAAATCTGTCACCGAGAATCGTGTATATCATTATGTTTTCGTACCAAAACATATCTGAATTGAAACTCCATACAAGGATATCTAAGGTTTTGTATGAATATTTGTCAGAACTTAGTGCTCATGTTTGTATGTTGAATATTATTTTCGAAATGCGCGGGTAGTACATTTGCTGAAACCTCAAATTGTGAATTTTCACTTGAAGCGCTTTTTATCAACAAAGCATTATCATGTTTTATGCAGTATTACTGCAACAATAATTGTTACCCTCAGAGGAAATCCTACCGACTTCAAAGAAAGTCTTTGAGACAACTACTCGCATTTGGAGATGTTGAGCATCACGTGGCAGCGAGCGCCTGGTCATACCGGCCACGTGTACCAGACAGGTGTGGCACCATCGCGCTACAGAAGCTCCCGCGCCGCAAAGCCAGTTAGGATCCAAGCCCGCCCTGGCGACGAGCAGTGGCCACGAACGCTGCTCTATAAGATCGATCGACGGTGCGATTCTACCAGTCAAGGCAGCGATTGTCAAGCATTTTTCACACGGATTGAGTGTTCCTTCCTCCACGTTTTGCTACAGACAGAAATTGCGGGTATTCGCGATTGAGTATTTGTTGGAAGTGAGTCGTTGGTGAGGTTTGAGTCGCAGGATATTCGAGCGATGGACGCTTTGAGGCACGCCGACGCGAAAGTGCAGCATGCGACGCACCCAGCGGGAGCAGCGCGGTGGAGAATGAACAGGTGCGAATTCGGATCTCCTGATGGTCGCTGTTTTGACGCCGACTACGTGGTTTTATCTCTTCTCGTGATGTTCATGTAATGATAATATGTGGGAGATGGTGAGAGTGAGTCAGGTTTGCGACGGATTCGAATTCATGTGCTGATGGGTTATTTCTCGCAATTGGTGTTGTTTCAGACATAATCCCATGGCGAGGCTGCGCTGGAAGAAGAACCGCGTTACCCACCCTGTTGGACACAAGAAGGCGAAGACCAGGGCGAGGTTGAACTACATCAACCCCCTCTTCTACATCCGCCGCATCAAGCATAACCTCACTGGCGTTGGGCACCGCCACAGGACCACCACCGTATATTAGAAGAAGCCTTGTACATATTTTGGGTCAGTGGAGGCATCCGATTGTATAGCCGAGTCGGAACGGGAAGAGAGATTGGTATAGAGGCGCTGTTTGATTTATTTTGTTTATGGCACTGCATGAGTTCTAGAAGCGCCTGCTCACACCGGGCGATTCTTAAGACTGTAACCCCAAGTATATAAGTTTTTTGGTAAAATTACCTACATATTTCTTTTTGAATCTTGTGCCGTGTTGCATAGCATTTTCAACGTTTTGCATTGTGTTCCTGGAAATTCTTCTACTGTTTCTAGTGAAACATTCAGGCAGGCAATGTCTTCGTGTAACTGTGGTTTTTATTTTGGGGTGAAATGGTTGTTTCCATATGCTGTTACTTGGTTCTGCAATACTGAATGAGTGTTTTCTGTTGAGAAGCTGGACACTTTTGAACTAATGTACTAATTCCAATATAATAATATGAGATGGCGATCTTTTATGGATTGGAACAACCATAGAGACAGTACTGAATGGATACTACTCTGGAGTTTGCAATTGTTGTTCGCAGGAGGAAAATTCTGGGGTTTAAACATGCTGCGATAATCAAACATAGAGGGAATTAGGGAATAATAGGGTCATTTAAAACTTAGTGAGGATTTTGTCTTAAGCTAAGCCATGTACTTCTTCTTTGCTATTTGTATCATGGAGTTGTAATTTATAAGTTATTTAAAATGTTCCTATGGCAAAATTCTTCAATACATTATTCTTGTCAAAGAAATACTACATTAATATCTTGAAATGTTTACAATGTCAAGTTCTAAAAACAACAATTACAATATTATTAGTTGAGCAATGATATGAAAGTAGAGTGAATGAAAAGTTGTGGAATACCTAGTGAAAAAAGTTAAAGTTTTTGAAGAGTAGAAGTACAATGAAAATAAAGACTTCATGATTTGAAGATGGTTTTTAATAATGTATGTAAATATTTTTTTGTTAATTTGATTACAAAAGCATAGTTAATTGGATGTATCTATAATAAACTTTGAATAGTATTTATTTGTTATTTTGGATTATTAACTTAAAATAAGACTTTAAAAAAATTTATTTGTTTTTTTTTTATCAAATTATAAATTAATATTTTTGTCTTAGAATGTGTGCAATTATAGTTAAAATATTGGTATAAAATACAAAGATATTTTAGCAAATACAAGTTATATAAACATTAAAGATATCTATTTTATTTTTGACAATAAATCATTGAGGAATAAGTACCAAGGAAGTATTAATTAGACCTTTAGTATTAATTTAAAGAAAAGTAAAAAGAAATATTACCAAATTAAAAATCATGATAGAATATATAAGAGAGAATAAATTGAATGGTTTTTAGTTAAGTCATGCAATGCCAAAAATGGTGTTAGTATCATGTAGCATTGTATTAAGCAAGCAATATCTCTAAATATAGCACATTGATTTAAATTCAAAAAATACAAATTATAATGTACTTTATATTTTAAAATCACAATTAACAAGGCATATGTAAATTGAGATTTTACAACAAAGGTATTCTTTGATATTATAGTTGGTGCATACAAAGAATAAAAACAAATCATTTTTTTTTGCTAATATTACACTAATTATAATTAAGTGCATGTAATCATTATTTAATATTGTATCATAGACATATATATTTACTCTAATAGTTACTTAGATAATATAAATAATTAAAAATAAATAAAAGTAGATTAATTTCATAATATCTTTTAGAAATACTTTTTAGAAACTTCATAGATGTGATTTCATATTTATACATATCTATAGGTGATTGATAGGTTAGAAACTTGGCCAAAAATTTAGCCACATGTTACATGTATTAGTGACTTGTAGTATAAGCTAATAATATGGCACACATATAACAAACTTGTTCTACAAATTAAGACATGTGTCTTACAAATTGGACAAGTGTAGGAGGTCTTATAGAATATCACCATGTAACTCTTAGGTTTATAGTATATATAGAGGTAAGAGTGAAGCCTTTTCTACTCTTATTAATTCCTTTCTTACTTCTAGTCTAGTTTTAAGGTTTTCTAATATTTTTTTCTTTTAAAAATATCCATTCTAATTTCTTTTTAATATATATATTTTTTCATTTTTATTTTATCATCTTTCTTTGAAAAAAGTTTTACTTATTTATTTGCCTTTATGAAGTTATTGTCCTTAACAAAGTAGCAAATATATACTTATAATATCATAGCTTTGTCCTTTCTTGATTAAAAGTAGATTATTTATTTTTTTTATCAATCAAAAGTATATTAAAAGTTATAGAATATTTATTTTTAAATTAATATTATTTTTAGAATTTATTTTATTTTTTAATCCCCTCTTCTATTTATCTTGAGAGATATTAAACATCTACTTTTCTATTATATAATCATAGCAAAGCTTGTTAAAATGAGGAGCTCAATGGTACAAATGCAAGAACAATTGAAGGAGTTAATGCTTGCTATGCATCAACTCTATTAATCACTACAAAGACCAATAAGATTGATAAGTAATGAAGATATAGAGATGATTGGAACTACTTCAACATCTATATCAAATCATAGTCCTCCTCTTCCTATGGTAGAATATCATTCAAGCATTAGAGAACCAAAAATTAGCTTGTTTAAGAAGTTTGATAGAAAAAGATCAAAATTTTGAAAATTCATCAATCAAGTACAACTATTAATTGAACTTTAATTCCAAAGCTATCCAATTTGAAGATCATTAGTTATGTTAATTGAAACATTTCTTTCAAATTTTATATTATCATGATTTTATTTTATTTTGAATGATATGATCTAATATTAGATAATTTAGAAGTTTTATAATAGAATTTTGATCCATATATATAAAACATATTGTAATTTATATTGCAACAACTAAGATTTGTATTTTGAAACAAAACATTCAATCCATAACATTGTATACTTTAAAATTTTAGCAACTTGCAATTGATATCAAGTAGGATGATGGTGCAGTCATTAATCAAATTTTTTATAGATTATAATTTGAAATAAAGAAATTGATACTGTTTTTATTTGACCTTCAAATATTAAGTCATGCAATTGATTTTGCTATGAAATATGACAACTAACTTTTTGAATTTCAATCTGAGAATTACACAAGTAAGCTTCAATATTATTTCAATTCAATATAAATACCAATATCTTTTGAATTCATATATTCAAAAGTAGAGAATATATAAATTAATGTGATATGTTTCAAATTTTTCCCCAAGTAAGAAAAGTTTCATCATTATTAGAAAGGATTTTGCTTATATTGTAGAAAATCTAAATACACTGCTTAATATTATTCAAAGATATAATATAACCAAAAAATGAAGAACATGGCTGTTAAAAAATATAATATGTCAAAAAATAAGTTTATCCAGCTATAATAGAAACCATGTAATTAGAACCTTATATAATACCTAATGAAGGTCCTATTTTCTTTTCAAAAAACTCTCTTTGTTTTATAATAGATGTTATTTTTGGATCTAAATATTACAAAGCTTTTATTTTATTAGATTTAAGAACTTCACCTTT